CCATCGGATCAGCGCGGTGTGCTGGCCGCAGCGCGCCAGCTGCGGTGGCCATTAGAGGGTGAACCAACGGCCAAGGAAGACCTTTCTCTCTGTCTCTCTCTCTCTCACTGTCCACTCTGCCTGTCAAAAAAAAAAAATAAAGAAAGAAAAATGTTACATATTTAATGGTACTAAAAAATGTGAGTATACCAAAAGTTCTAGATCAATTTGAGATGGAATAGTATCAGAAGCATATATGACTTGCAATAATTAAATCATTTTAGTTAGGGGATGGTGTGGTGTAGCAAATAAAGCCACTGCCTATGAGGCTAGCATCCCATAGGGGTACCAGATCCTCTACAGATCCCCTGCTTCTGATCCAGCTCCTTGCTAGTGGCCTGGGAGTAGCACAGAAGATCCAAGTGTTTGTGCCCCTGCTACCCACGCAGGAAACAAATTAAGTTCCTGGCTTCAGCCTGTCCCAGTACTGGCCATTGCAGTCTTCTGGGGACTGAACTAGCAGATGGAAGATCTCTGTCTCTCTCTCAATAACTCTTTCAATTTAAATAAATATTTTTTTAAAACAGACTTCAATAGAAGCGGGTGTTGTGGTGCAGCTGGTTGAGCAACTGGTTGGGATACTTAAATCCCATTTTCAGAGTGCTTGGGATTGAGTCTCCTCCTCTGCTCCCTGCTGATGTGCCTAGGAGATGTCAGATGATAGCATAAGCAGTTAGGTTCCTCCCACCCAAGTGGAGACTTAGAATTGCAGGTTCCTGGCTTCAACCTGGCCCAGGACTGGTTGTTACAGGCATCTGGGGACTGAATAAGTTGATGGAAAATCTCTCTGTCTCTCTCTGCCTTTCATATGAATAAGTAAATGATCAAATAAAAATATCTAGAATAAAAAACATATTCTAACATAAAAAGACTAACATCTCAAGAAAACAATAGTCAAATGACATCAGGACATTAATCACAAATGAAGAGTTTCAAGTAGTTAATAAATATGAAACATTCAGCCACAGAAATAAATGCCAATTAATGACCTGAGAAAATATTTTATACATGAAACTTCATAAATTTGACTTAAGTGTATAGAAAATAGACTCCTTACAAAACTGCTGCTATGAGTAATAACTTGGTTGTTGTATAATGTGATGAGAATTTTTTAGACCACTTTGGCAATAAACAAAAAATGTTAATGTTCATACCTTTTGACTTTAATTTTTAGTGATTTATTCTGAAGAAATTATCAGAGATGAAATGAAGATATGAAAACAATGTTCATCATAGCTTTATTTCTATTATGGAAAAAATTAGAAGCAACCTAAATCTATAGATAGGGGAATAACTGAAAAATGGCTTATATCTATTCATAGAAAATAATTGAAATAATGTCTTTGAAGAATATTTAAGATGTAGAAAATAGTATCTATCTACTACTCAAATTGCATATATATTATTTCAAATATATTTGCTCTAAGGCACTGTCTGTTGGAAGAAGCACCATTATTTCCTCTGGCATGTGAGAAAGAAAACTAACAGCAAAAATGACATTTAAGATATATTTTTTAAATTAATTTATGTATTTGAGAGCTAGAGTTACAGACAGAAGAAGAGAGAGAGATCTTCTATCCAGTGGTTCACTCCCCAAATGGCCACAATGCCTGGAACTGGGCCCATCCAAAGCCAGAAGCCAGGAACTTCTTCAGAGTCTCTCACGTGGGTGCAGGAGTCCAAGCACCTGGGCCATCTTCCACTGCTTTCCCTGACCACTAGCAGAGAGCTTTATTGTAAGAGGAGCAGCCAGGACATCAACCAGCGCCCACATGTGATGCTGGCACCATAGCCAGAGGTTTAACCTAATATACCACTGCAACAGCCCCATCAAGATATATTTTCTAATAGAATACCCTGGAATTGAGCTAGGGCAACCTCTGAGCCAGGGTAAAAGAAATAATCTCTACATGGAGACAGCAAAGAATTCAGCTGGTCCTGGTTCCCATTTTGGTTTAAATTCACATCGTCAGTATTGTACAAAAGGCTTCAAATAAGGGGAGAATTTAAAGTGTTCACAGTTGGGTTGTTTACCCAGGAAGAGAGAAGCATTAATTCCCTGGCAGAATGTAGCTTAGTACAGGTGGGCAGCAATTTATTTTTGTACCTTTGATAGTACTTTTAAGACACTATTAATTCTAAAATGTATTCTACATCAGAGCTGTTAAAAGGTGAAAAATTGTCTAGAATGAATGAATTATATTCCATAGATACAATTGGAAGGAAATATTTCACAATTTAGCAGTGCAAAACTAGTCTATTGGATTGCATATATATTTCACAAAATTGGTCAATGAACATTTATTACATATATTTAAATATTTACCTTAATTAGGATTCCCATAATTATCTTCAATTCATTTTAAAAATTTGATCTCCTCTGCTAATATATTTTGATTCACTGCCAACCTTGGGTAATAAAGCTCAGGCATTTATAGTTTTATAATTCTAGCACTGTGGAAAAAGGCTATGTTTATTTTGGCTGTAGACTTGCAAGCTATTACTGTTAGTAGGCATATCAAAGGTCTTCTAAAACAGGCCCATCACTGATTGGAGAGCAGTGGAGTGAAGGGATGAGTGGTGATGTTTTCGTTTTGAATGTTTTCAAAAGGCCCCTGTGTCAGAAGCTTGGTCCCCAGGGTATTGCTATTAGGAGGTGGTGGAATCTTTTAGGAGGTGAAGCCTAGTGAGAGGTCTTTGTATTACTGGGAACATGCCATCAGAAGGCAGTGCTCTTGGAACTTCTTGGGTTTTCAGGATAGGGTTGTTGTAAAAGCCCGAGTTCAGGCCCATCCACATTCTTCTCTGGTTCCAGATATGATCCTTTGTTTCTTCATGCACTTCTGACATTATGTGTTACCACTGACTACTCTCACCAGAGGCCAAACCAATAGAGCCATCTGATCTTAGACTTGAACTTCCAAAATTGTGATAACGAACAGTTATGAAATTCAGATTTAAAAATATTTTCAAAGAATACAATAAAATATTCACAGAATTAAAACTATGAGGTTCTATGATATAGGGCTGAAAAATTAATTTGATTACTTGGACTTTGAGTAAGCCATATATTTTAGAAAGGTCATGAGAACTGTGTATTTAGCCTCATGGACTCTCCCATCTCTGCTCTGGGCATTATAGAAAATAAAGGTCAAAATTTATCCCTTCTTATGCCTAATTGGAAAGTAGACACGAGTATTACTCCAAACCAGAATTTCTCAAAGAATAACCTAAGGACCACTTGTCTTAGAATCCTCTGGGGTCCTTGTTAGAAATGCAGATTTCACAGTCCTTCACCAGCCCTGCAGAATCATAGTATCTGGGAAATATCCCATGATATTAAAAACTCTCCAGGTAATTTTGATTCTTAAGTTTGAGACTCACTGCCAGACAGCTTCTAGATCTTACTGAGATACCAACACCAGATGGATTATCAGAGCATGAGTAATAATTGTTCCCATGAATGTTGATACAGGACAAAAGTGACAAATATTGAAATGGGTGTGCTATTTCCTACAAAGTACAAGAACAGGAAATGATACATTATGTCATCAATCCAAAGGAATTTTAAAGGTAAAGTTGGAAATAGTTTATACTTATTTCACTCATAATGATAATAGAATGCTTACTTAGCATATAGATTTTCCAATATATTTTTCCTTATTTGCCTGAAGCAACATAAAACTAGCTGAGTCCCATTTGATTCATTTGGGAGATGTTTTTAAAGCTTTGTCTTTACTTCAAGCATTATAATAAATGTCTCTTAACTGTCTCCTGTTTTTTGGAGCTTTGGTATGAAACAGTCAGTATTTTCATTAATATGAGTCCATTTTACTTGTAATTCTTGTTGTAACTGTTATCACTGGGAGCAGAATATAAAGGTTTTTAGAAGGAAATATTTTTTGTTCCATTTCATGTCATCATGGGAAGATAATGTGCCTGATAATTTTATTTGATCTACTTTTTTTTAAAGATTTTATTTATTTATTTGAGAGGTAGAGTTACAGACAGTGAGAGGGAGAGACAGAGAGAAAGGTCTTCCGTTGGTTCACTCCCCAAATGGCCTCAACAGCTGGAGCTGTGCCCATCCGAAGTCAGGAGCCAGGTGTTTCTTCTGGTTTCCCATTTGGCTGCAGAGTCCCAAGCACTTGGGCCATCTTTTTTTTATTATTATTTTCAATTAATTTTATTTCTTTTTAAACTTTTATTTAATAAATATAAATTTTGAAAGTACAATTTTTGGATTATAGCGGTTTTTCTCCCCTTCTCCCATCCCATTCTTTATTGATTCATTTTTAATTATCTATATACATACAGAAAATCAGCTTAGTATATACTAAGTAAAGATTTCAAGTTTGCACCCACACAGACACACAAAGTATAAAGTACTGTTTGAATACTAGTTTTATCATTAATTCGCATAGTATAACACATTAAGGACAAAGATCCTACATGAGAAGTAAGTGCACAGTGACTCCCATTGTTGATTTAACAATTGACACCCTTATTTATGACGTCAGTAATCACCCAAGGCTCTTGTCATGAGCTGGCAAGGCCATGGAAGCCTCTTGAGTTCACAAACTCCAACCTTGTTTAGACAAGGCCATAATCAAAGTGGAAGTTCTCTCCTCCTTTCAGATGGGCCATCTTATACTGCTTTCCCAGTCCACAGCAGACAGCTGGATTGGAAGAGGGGGAGCGGGACTAGAACAGGCGCCCAGATGGGATGCTGGAGTTGCAGGTGGAGGACTAACCTACTGTGCCACAAAGCCAGCCCCTACTTGTTTTCTTGAAACATAAAACTCTGCCCTAATTACTACTGTCATCACTTTTATCAAGTACCATTGCACTTTCAGGAGTTACAAAGGTTTTTAAATTTCTCTGTTGAGAATTCAGCCAGTATCCAAATTCCACCACATCCACCCTACCCCACCCTTCTCCTCCTTGTCTTTATTACCTACCTCTAGCACCCAGGAAGTTGCAAGACTCACTCTTGCTCAGAGGCAATCTTCTTCACTGACATACAAGCCAGCTATGGAAGGTGGTCTTATTTCCTGTTCCACCTGTCTTCTCCAAAGCATTGTAGGTGTGTGGACTGTAAGGCCATTTGTAGCTTCAGGATTCACTGTGAGCTGTTCTTGGATCATCAATTTTGAATCATTTTGTGTTCTTGTATCTATGACAGAAGTGGGTTATAACTAAGTACCTTTCTCCTTGTTAGTTTGACATTTGAATTTCCACAAATTAGACATCAGGACCCAATGAAGGCAATTTCAAAACAGAATTGCAAGGGAAGGGAACAGGCATTTGGTACAGTGGTTAAGATGCTAACTGGGACACCTGATTCTTTATCTGGAGTGCCTGGGTTCAAGTCCTGGCTCTGTTCCTGATTCCAGTTTCCTGCTAACATACACTCTTGGAAGCAGTGGGTTATGGCTCAACTGGTTGAGTCCCTGATACCCATACTGGAGATCTAGCATGAATTTCTGGTTTCTGGCTTTGGCCTGGCCCAGCCCTAGCTATTACGGGCATTTTGGGAATAAAGCAAATGGATAGGAGATCTCTCTAGCTGTATGACTATCTCACTCTGTCACTGTGCCTTTCAAATAAAAATAAATAAATAAAACTTAAGAATTATAAAGAAGCCACAAGTGTTAAAATTCTGCAGAGCTACTTTGGATTTTTGCTTGTGTGACCCAAAGGAGGTCCCCAAGGGTCTTAAACTTTCAGATTAAGAGTAAGCTTCTGGAATGCTCCTGCTTAACTTGTCTGTAGATTTGTTGTAATCTACAGACAAATGGAGCCATTTCTTTGATTCTAAACTGCTCCTACTGCTCCACTGAAAGGAGCTTCATGATCTAAGCCTTTCTTCCTCCCCACTCATACCATACAACTGTCCAGTCAGGTAAAATCAGAGGCTTAGACTGCATGACTACATTGAAAGAAAACTTTCCTGCCTGGTCTCTTTTAAAGATTCACATAGGTTGGTTTCTCCAATCTGTTTCCTGTTCAGTATTCTCTCCTTGAGAACACTGAGCCTGTGGTTCCTGTGCTGGATAATCCATACATTAAGCATGTACACATGCACCTACATTCATGTAGACTATACAAGATAGTACCTAATACATATTGAGAATAGAATATAGCTGCAGTATTAGTAGACTTATTCCATGGCTAAAAAATAGGTCTTTAAATAAATATTGGGGGGAGGGGTAGCCATTTGGCACAGCAGTTGACACCACTTTTGGATGTCCACATCCTATATCTAGTGTCCGTTCAACTCTTGGCTTTGCTTCCAGTTCCAGATTTTAGCTAATGCATACCTAGGGAGGAAGTAGGTGTTAGCTAAAGTACTTGGGTTCTTGCCACCCATGGGGGAGACCCAGACTGACTTCCCAGCTTCTGGCTTATGGCCTGGCCTAGCTTGGGCTGTTGTGGGCAACTGGGGAATGCAATGAACCAACAGATGGAAGATTCATTCATTCTCTCTCTCTCTCTACCTTTCAATGAAATAAAACACATAAATTTGAACATTTTTGACATATTTGCTGAAATTTTTTCAGTATAAACTAAAGAACTAGACTAGCAATCACTTTCTCTTCATTTCACAGTGGTCACATTGCACTCATTTTTTTTCTTGTTGTTTCTCTACCCCAGACAGAAATATGGACATGAAGGTTGCAATGAGAAACTAGTCAGTTTCTCTCTAGGCCTGCCAGATTAAAAAATACAGAATGCCCAAAGTTGAATTTTAGATAAAGCTTTAATAATATTTCATATAAGTATGCCCATGCAATATTTAGGATATAATAAAAATTATTTGGTGTTTACCTAAAATTCAAATTTATCTTGGTATCATGCATTTTATCTGGTGATTCTATTCCTACCCTATCCCCTTCTTCATCTCTAGTCTCACTGCTACCATTTAGGCAAGGGATCCTTATTACCTGGAGCCTGAGTATTTGCAACACCTATCTAGATGGTCTTCCTGAAAATGCTGTCCTCTTCCAGTGTGGCCTACTGCCTGACACACAATCAAATTTTTAAAAAGCTATTTTCATTTTCTTCTACCCATGAAACTATGATGACTGCAACTGCTTTCTTTTTTTAAAAAATATTTATTTGAAAGGCAGAGTTATAGAATGACAGAAGGATAGACAGAGAGATCTTCCATCTCCCTAAATGGCCACTTTGGCCAGGAGTGGGCCAGACCAAAGCCAGCATCCAGGAGCTTCATCTGGGTCTCCCACATCGGTTCAGGGGTTCAAGCACTTGGGTCATCTGCTGCTGCTTTCAAAGGCACATTAGCAGAGAGCTGGGTTGTAAGTAGAGCAGCTGAGACTCAAACCTGCACCCATATGGGATGCAGGTATTGCAGGAAATGGTTTTAACCCACTGTGCCACAACACTAGCCCCTGCAATTGCCTTTTTTTTTTTTTTTTTTTTGACAGGCAGAGTGGACAGTGAGAGAGAGAGACAGAGAGAAAGGTCTTCTTTTGCCGTTGGTTCACCCTCCAATGGCCGCTGCGGCCAGCGCGCTGCGGCCGGCGCACCACGCTGATCCGATGGCAGGAGCCAGGTACTTATCCTGGTCTCCCATGGAGTGCAGGGCCCAAGTACTTGGGCCATCCTCCATGTACTCCTGGGCCACAGCAGAAAGCTGGCCTGGAAGAGGGGCAACCAGGACAGAATCTGGCACCCTGACTGGGACTAGAACCCGGTGTGCCGGCGCTGCAAGGCAGAGGATTAGCCTAGTGAGCTGTGACGCCGGCCTGCAATTGCTTTTTAAAGTGACTTTCAATCAGTGTGCACTTGTATATATATACATTGTTCATATATGTATGTATAGGCAATTTTAAGGGAGGTACTTAGTTTTTATCAGAATCGTAAGGAAGTATCTTCAAGGTACATCAAGAACAGATATAAAGAACAAGAGTGGGTGAATTTAGAAAAATGCAACTGCCTCCATCATGACTTTTGTTTTAGACATCAGTAATTTGAAAGTTCCATCATTATATCATTTAACTTCCATCAGTATGATGCAGGATAAGTGACACAAGTATTCCTGCTTAAATTTCAAAGTAAGATATCTAAATTCCAGAGAAATGAATTGGAAAGCCACAGAGTTTGAATCGAAATCACTGTGTTTATTTCTCTCTCTGCTTCTATGATGGCTAGCCTTTAAAAATAACATCTATATAATACTTTAAACAAAAGGTTTAAGACCACTTTGTGTATATTTGAGCTTCACAAGGGTTCCTCTTCATCTCTGAAGAGATGTTCTTATTCCTACCTGTCTGGTGGCCCTTGCCACTTATTCTTTACTGACCACAAATATTGGGCATTAGGCCATTTGGTGCAAGGAGTTGGCTTTTCATTGTGAAAAGAATGGGAGAACATGCTTGTAGTTGTATTCCAGTGCTGCTGATACATTTTGGGACCATGATTTATGGTAAATATTAGAGTTCATCTGTAAGTCCTAAAATAAAGTCATGTTTAATACTTTGTGTCTACTTGTTTAAAAGAACAAAAAGGGTATTCATATAATCTGTTGGGGTTTTAAATAATTTTTATCTTTTTCCATATGTCAGATGTATTCTCAAATAAAAGAGAAAAAACTTCATTTGTCTCCCTTGCCTGCACACTTGACAGATCTCCTTCCTAGGTCCCTATAACACACCTTCTTAGTGGCCTTTGCTGGCTCTTCTCATCTATAATCAACATGCACACTTTTCATGACTTAAAATACCATCTCTATGCTATCGCCAGCCCAGACAAACCCCCATATTTACAATTTGTATATAAGGGGTCTTCACAAAGTTCATGGAAATGTGCTATTATTTTTTTTTATTTTTTTAACAGGCAGAGTGGACAGTGAGAGAGAGAGAGAGAGAGAGAGAAAGGTCTTCCTTTGCCGTTGGTTCACCCTCCAATGGCCGCTGCGGCCGGTGCGCTGCGGCCAGCGCACCCGCGCTGATCTGATGGCAGGAGCCAGGAGCCAGGTGCTTTTCCTGGTCTCCCATGGGGTGCAGGGCCCAAGCACCTGGGCCATCCTCCACTGCACTCCCTGGCCACAGCAGAGAGCTGGCCTGGAAGAGGGGCAACCGGGACAGAATCCGGCGCCCCGACCGGGACTAGAACCCGGTGTGCCGGCGCCGCTAGGTGGAGGATTAGCCTAGTGAGCCGCGGCGCCGGCCCAAAGTTCATGGAAATGTGCTATTATTAAAAAAAGAAAACCACTATGCATAGATTTCAAAATGTTCTTGCAGCCAAATAAACTTATCTTTTCATTTCATTCTTCTAGAAACTTTTCAAGTATCCTCATATTTAATGGTCTAGCTTAACATTATCTTAGATGTCTAATAGCCATTTCAAATTTAGCCGTTCAAAGCTGATCTCATATACCATACCACTACCGACTCCTAAAGCTTTCCTGTCTCAGGGAAATCTGTAGTGCTCAGCAAAAAAAAAAAAAAGGTTGGGGGGTAGAGATAGAGACATTCTTTTCTTTCTCTCTTCATGTTTGGTCTGTCAGCAAATGCAGTGGGCCCTCCTTCCAAATGTATGTGCAGCTGGATCACTTTTCACCACCTTTAGTACTTCTTCCCTACTCCAAATCATCATCTCTCATCTGGATTATTTCAAGAACCTCTGAACTGGTTTGTCCTCCTGTCTGTACCAGAACAGCAAGTTCTTTTTTGTCAAAGAGTAACCCAGATTATGTCACTGATCACCTTAAAACCCTGTGCTAGCTGTCCATCTCACTCTAAAAAGGGGCGACCCCAAAGACCATACACAATTGCTTCCGAGGCCAAATCTTGTAATGCTTCCCTTTCCCCCATGTTGTTCCTAACCTGGAATGCTGGATGGTCCTTAGATTGAGATGCCTCCTCCCACCATCACTGTGGCCTTCTCACCTGCTTTCCCTTCTCTTCTGACGTTTGCCTGTCTGCTTCCTTACTTCTCACAGGTCTTTAATGTTACTTTGCCAACACTTTTATCCACCTTCCCTTCCTTATTTTTCTTAGTAGTAAACATTTTTTAATATACTAAGTATTTGACTAATTTATTGTCTACTAAGCCTTCAGTAAATATCTGAATGAATGAAAAATGCACAGATGGTTTTCCTTTGTTGAAGGTTTAAAAATATTTATTTATTTATTTGAAAGGGAGAGA